AAGAAGTGAGAACAAAAGTGAAAAAGAAAAGCATCTGTGTAAGAATTTTGGTCAGAGGAAAGGGAAGAACAGGATGATGTTCTAAGCAAGCTTATCGGATCACAAGGAACACAATGGCTGGAGCAAACATCTCTACGAGTAACTTTATTTCTAGTTCTGCTCAGCTATTGCCTAGCAGATATGCTCTGATCTTTAACCATGCATTCTAGGAGCCCTGTGCCGTTGCCCCAGGGGTCCTTTCATCTTTGCACTCACTTCATCACTCCTGCAACCAGTCTCTACAGCATTGTGCTAATAGTGCCTCCTGTTATTAATACATCCTGAGGAGCCTCCTAAGAGTCAAGATGGCTGTATTCAGAGCTCACTGTGAGAACTACAGCTCATGACCTCAACAACTACATGAGGAAGGAATTAATCAGAGGGGTGTCATAGTTACTTTTCCTCATTGCTGAGACAAAATACCCAACACCCAAAGTTAGAGGGGAAAGGGTATATTTAACTCACAGTTTGTAGAGGTTTCAGTTCATAATCAGCTGGCTCCAAGGCAGAGTAGCACATGGCAGAGGGGCAACAATTCATGGCAGCAGAAGGCAGCAAAGGCACCAAGGAAACCTAACAGTATCTTTCTGCCCCTTGTATCTTATCCAGACTACTTAGAGCAGGTAGCACTCAAACCTTAATGCCCTTGAGCCTAGCATTGCATCATGAATCAATTCCAGCATCACACTCTAGATCAAGCCACCTCTGAAAAAGCCTATGACCACACAAGGTTTCAGGGGGACATCTAGACACAAACCATAAAGAGGGGAAATAGAGACACTGCATTTATTCAGAAAATATTTACCAAGCACTCGCTGGCTATGACATACTGATACAAGCACAAAAGACTCAGGAGTGATCAACACTGACTGGGTCTTTGTTGCTACGGGGAACAGCTACACCAAGGAGGTATAGGGTGATGTGGAGATAATAACATGACACTCAACACAGGCTGGAGGCTCAAGAGAAAATGTCCAGAGGAAGTGACATTTAAATTGAAACCTGGGTATGAAGAGGTGATAGCAAGTTAGGGATTCAGGGAGGCTTCAAGACCAAATGAAATAATCTGTGAGTCCCCCATTTCCTTACTTGGTTTTTTGGTCCCGCTGGTCTATTATTGAACTCTTCTTTTTCCAGAACCAGGGTCAAACTCAGGACCTTGCACTTGCCAGGCAATTACGGTGAAACTGAGCTAAATCCCCAGCACCTCTCTATTACTGTAGGACAATTTCTACCTCACCTTTCAATTTTTGCTTCACATATTTTGGTAGTCCATCATTAGGTCCATAAGTGTTTGTAATAATTATGTTTTTTCTGGCTGTATTGAACCTTTCATTAATAAACAATGTCCTTCTTGGTCTCTTACAACTTTTCTGATATTTAGTGCAATCACCCTGTTCTTTTGGTTACTATTTACATTCACTATCCTTTTCCACCCTTTCACTCTGAACAAATGTGTATCTTTGGATATAAAACAAACTCCTGTAAAAAGCATATTTTTAAATATTTTTTATCCTCTTTTGACTTGGAAGTTTGAAGAAATTCTGTCATTTTTGTCTTCAATATGGTAGAAAGTACAGTGGTACCTCAGTTTACAAACTCAATTTGTTTTACAATTTGGGGGAGATGGCTACACTTATGTCTGTGTGGGGAAATGGCCATTGGTCATATGTGTCACCTAATGCAGAGTTTGCAAATGGAAGAAAAAATTTGCTGAACATTTTTCTGAACCAGATTTGCAAACAGAAGCACTCATGAACCAAGATATTACTGAACTTTTATATTTCACTTCCTATTTTACCATCTTTTGTTCACTTGATTTTTAAGTGAAATATTTTAAACTCCTTTCGCATTTCCTTTTTGTGTATATATTTACCTATTTTCTTTATGTATGGAGACACCATTTAAGATCCTAAAGTTATAACATTTTAACTTAAATTTACACTGGATTAACTTCAATAATACACAAAAACATTGTCCCTGTAACAGTTCCATCCTCACCCCATTCAGCCAGTATCACAAGATTATCTTTATACATTGTATCCAAAAGCATAAATTTATAATTTAATGCATCAGTCTCTTAAATTAGGTAGAAAACAAAATGTAGTTACAGATCAAAGTACAATACTGTTACATTTTAGTCATTTTTTCATTATTAGTCTAATTCATATAGAAAACAAAAATTGAAGTTATACACCCATGTTAAAATAAGTCTAGTTTTATACTGTCCATGAACTTAACTGAAAGACTTTTGTTGTTGTACTAGAGATGGAACCCAGGGCCTTCACATTGAGCTACATTGCCAGCTCATTTTTTCACTTTTTATTTTGAGACATAGTCTCACTAAATTGCCCAGGCTGTGCTTGAACTTGTGACCCTCCCAGAGTGCTGGGATAAATGGGCACAGGACACCATGCCCAGCTTATAATCATTGTTTCTTCATTTACTAATATCCACTGAATTCAAATTACAGGACTCACCTTAGCATTTCTCACAGGGTATGTCTAGTGGTAACAAGCCTTTATTTGAGAATGTCTTAATATCTCCCACACTTTTGAAGGATAATTTTGCCACATGTAAAATTTTTGGTTAATGCTTTATTTCTTTAGCACTTTAATGATATCAGCCTACTCTCTTCGAGCCTCAGGTTTCTGTTGAAAATTATGACTATAACCTTATTGGGGATTTTTTGGGTTTGGGGTTTTTTTTTTTTTTTTTTTGGTACCAGGGATTGAACCGGGTCCTTGCACTTGCAAGGCAGGCCACCGAACCACTGAGCTAAATCTCTGGCCCACTATAATCTTATTGAATTCTTTGTGAGTCCCTTCTGCTGCTTTCAAAATTTTCTATCTTTAGTTTGATTGTACTGTCTTAATGTCTGAGTTCATCCTACATGGAGTTCATTAAGTTTGTTTAATGTTAACAATGTTTTTCATCCAATTTAGGCAATTTTCAGACATTATTTTCTCAAATATTCTCTAGGACCCCAGCAATATATATATATGTTGGTCCATTTGATAGTATTCCACAGGTTCTTTAGGCTCTGTTCACTTTTCTTTGATCTTTCTTCCTTTCTGTTCCTCAGACTCATTAATTTCCATTGTCCTATCTTCAGATTAACTGATTCTCTCTTCTGCCTTCTCAAATCTGATTTTAATCCTTCTAGTGAATTTTTTCAGTTACTGTACTTTTCAGCTAGAGATACTTTTTGGTCTTGGTTTTGGTTTTGGTTTTCAGTAGTAGGGATTAAACCCAGGGCCTTCACACTGAGATAAATCCACAGCTCTTTTCAAATTTTGCATCAGGTTCTTATTGTCTAAATTGCACGATGGGCTCAAATTTGCAATTCTCCTGCCTTGACCTTCCAGAGTGCTAGGATTACAGACATTGTACCATCACACCCAGCTTTTTTTTAGATTTTCTATCTTAATATTACCATTTTGTTTATAGTTTCACTTTCTCCAGTCTTCCCTTGGTTCTCTGACCATCTGCAAGATAGTTAAAGTTTCTGTCTTAAGCCAGGCACAATAGTATACACCTGTTAAGTTCCAAATACTTGGGAGGCTGAGGCAGAAGCATCACTTGAGTACAAAAGTTTTGAGGCCAGCCTGGGAAATACAATGATACTCTGTTTTTATTTTTGTTGTAATCCTTTGAATGGGCCATATTTTCCTCTGTGTGTGTGTGTGTGTGTCCTGTGGTTTTTTTTTTTTTTTTTTTTTTTTTTTTTTT